TTTTTAATTTCATTCTCTTTAGATAAAGGAGAGAGGAATGTGACACTTGTCCCATTCCTATTCGTCATTATAAATATTATATGTTAAGATAACTATAACTCAAATTATAGATATTATTTTATATTAAAAAATAAAATAAAATATATCAAAATTCTTATTTTTTTCATTATCTTTAAATAGAGATCACTCTTGATATATTTTGGAGCACAATTGAAATTATTATGTTGAGTTGAATTGTAGATAAAATAATAAAAAAAATGTTTTGTATATATTATTTAATAAATAATAAGTAAAAATAAAATAAATATTATATTATGTTGGGTTGAGTTGAGTTAGGAATAAAGATATGTAGGTTATTAAAAGTTGGGTTGTGTAGGTGGAGAAGAGAGAAATAATTTTTTATTATTGGGTTGAGTTGAGTTGGGTTGTGGACAAATATAGTCTAGTAAGCCAGTAAGGGGAAAAAGGGAAAGATTATTTGAGTAATATTTTTATATAATATTTGAATATGTTAAATTTTGATTATCCTTAATTATAAACACGAACTCTATAATGACAATTATTTTATAACGAATTAAATAAACATATATATCATATATTAAATGATTATATATTATAAAAAAAGAATATTAATATAAATATTATTTTTATAATAATTAATATTTTATTACTTTGATGCATGCATTTTATAATTATTCATTCCAGTTTATAATTATTGACCCGTGGAATGAATCGCTAGTTTGGGTTCAAACACCCTCTAAATAGTGGGGCGGTTTTCTAGCCATTTTTTGAAGTAAAAAATGAAATATGGCCATTTTACAAGAGGGGCGGTTTTCTAGCCATTTTTTGAAGTAAAAAATGAAATATGACCACTTTTTGTAAAACAATGAAATCTAGTCATTTTAGTACTTAAAAGTACAATTCTACCCTTACTTATTATTTACCTACCAAAGATATTTAAAAAAAAAAAATCTGAAAAAGTTAAAAATAGCACGCGCAGGCGCAGCCTCTCTTCTCTCTTCCTTCTCTCTTCTTTCTCTCTTCCTTCTCTCCTCTTCTTTCTCGCATCTCGCGTCTCCTGTAAAAAAAAAAAATTCTCATCTTCCCAAAATTCACGTAAGTGAATCATCTGGAACAAAAATCATCTCCAACACATCAAGTGAATCCCTTTTTTAGAAGAAAAAAGGTACATT